ACAATATCTTACCCATAGTAGCGACCTCATGTGTTGTCCTAGTACGAAAATTATTACCAATCAAAAACCTCGAGATGCGAAATCGAATGATAATTATTAACCAATAGATATGCTTTAATTTGTTCTAGTTATTATTTAAATAAAGCAGGTGAGGTTAAATTTCAAAGTTTTCATGTGATTTATCTAAATATTTTATTGAAGATGTCTACACAAGATATTCATAAACTTTCATCTGTATTACGATCAATTGAAATAATTGAAGGTAAATTTTAAATATATAAATATAAAAAGAACATAAAAAAACACGAGAAACTTCATCATTCTAGAAAAAACAAATATATTACAGTCTGAATATACAACATCAATAAATGAAAATGATAATCTACATCCAACAATTATTGATGATACAAATATTCATTTACAAATATTTTTTCAACATTTTGAACAATTATTACAAATTGATTTAAAAAGTAAAAAAAAAAGAATTCGCTATTTTTCTATGATTGATATTCTTTTATGTTATTTTTGAAGATCGAATATCATTATTAAATAATAATAATAATAAACGAAATTATTGGAATTTTTTTTCAGTTGCATTAAAAGAAAGTAAAGCTTTATATGATACCGTATTATATGTTCTTAATAGTCAAGAAGTAAAAACTTCTGTTGGTCGTGGACGTTTATTTCTTCGTTTTTGTTTACAAAATCATCGTTTAGGTGATGTTATACAACAAAGTTTTATGACGACAAAAATTGTTAAGTAAGTTTAGTTCAATAAATAAAATTAAACACAATTCTTATTTGAAATTTTAGTCAATTTTATATTGATGAATCTTTTTGGACAGTACCAAAATATGTAGATCGTATTATTCAAGCATTATATCAATTAAATGATCTTCGATATGATCTTCTTTCAAATTCACAATATCAACTTGATGTTTGTTGGCCAACAACAGAGTTTGTTTTTTTCTTTTCATATTAAATCAAAAGAAAATGTTTAATAGTTAAATTGTTTTCTTCATAGATCACTTGAAAATCGTTCAAAAACAATATCGGATCCTGTATCAAGAATGAGAACTAATAGTGTATCAAGTTTTTTATCAATGGTATAGAAATATCATTTTAATTATTTTTCTAATAAATCTATTTTGTTTTAGAATAGTGTTGATTCTCAATCACACATTTCAATTGTCCCAGAGATTTCAGCTTCAATTCCAATTACAGCAACATTATTTCGAGTATTATAAAAAAAAACTATTAGTGCACTCGTTGCAAGATTAAAAT